AGAGCATTACTTAAGAGAATGATTACTAAACTCTGTTTTAGACATTTATTGAACTAAATCTAACCCACACAAGCTCTTCTCTCTGACATCCAAGTGAATCAGCAGGGATGGTGTTGGCAGCAGTGTTGGCTCATATGCTCTGATAGAGATGGACACTCTAATCCCTTGGCTTTTAAAATAGCAAAACATTTGTGTATTTCTGTTTGTGTTTGTTTTTATTTCTATATAAGCATTAAAAGTTGAGAAACTTCAGTATGTCAGCCTTTTGATGCCTTTTTTTTTTTGGAAGCCCTTGTTTTGAAATTTGTTTATTTTACTTTTTGTGCAATTGCTTGAGCCAAGTTTATTGTGAATCTTGTCCTGTAATAATGCTTAATCTCAGTGGGATTCATTTTCAGCTGCAAAAAACGCCCCTAGAAATTATTATTAATTTTTTAAAAAAGTGATATTGTATTATATACTTAATGATGATGCTTAACCTTCATTTGGTTTATATTCTGTTCAGTACTACTGCTGTGGTCTTGTTTAATTTTATATATAAACATCACATTTGCATCCTTTGTTAGGAATATTTTGACATTCGCTGATAGCATTACGGCTTAAGTGACAGGAAGGAAACAAATGGTTGAATCTTTGTATGACTCACGTTACATTTCTTCTTCTGAAGGAAATATTTCAGTAAACCTTTAAGTGAGGTTTATGCTAAGTGCTACTGATGGTCTCTGATACTGGTTGCTTGTCCTGGAAAAATTAGCTTAGATATGCTGCTGGCTTGCAGACCCTAGTCAGTCAAACAGTTGCTGGAAGAACAGAAATGTCTCCTAACATTTCCCTTATCAATTAGCATTGTTTGACTCTTTTTGGAGTGCCTAGCAGGATGCTGTCCTCAGATCATCCTGTACTTTGTGAGAGGTACACAAATGTCCATATTCCTAGACCACTCAGTTTTTAAAGTCACTTGATTTGAAAGCCTGTGGAGTTGGTGACCACATTTATTCATTTTCTTTGCTAAATGAGGTGCATCTCTAAAACTGTGCATTTGCCGTGAAAGATGACTGAAGAATTAGTTCATTCCATACAGAAGTAATGTAGCTTGTTTGTGGGTCATCGTTAACAGGGTACTTGCCACATCTCTGGTACTGCTTGTTTCTTGTCCTGGCTTACGCTGTACGCATACTACCTATTGCTGACAGAATAGTGATTGCTCTCCCCACCTTGTGAGTTAAAGCAGAGAATGTCAACCTAGCTGGCTTTAGAAACTTCTCAATGCCAAGAATTCTGTTTCAGGTGTAGAGGTCAGAAAAATAAATAAAATTGCAGGCTGAGGTATAGACTTTCTCACTGTTTTTTGTTGTCTGCTTGCTGTAAATTTTTTCTGTACTCCTGAAGTCTTGAGCCATAATAACTTCAAAAATGAAGTGAACCAGGTTTGAACCAAGTCAGTACTGTAAGAAGAGACCTCAAAGGAAATGCAAAGTGGTGTTGGTGGCGATTAGGTGGCATTCTTTGTTCTGTGTCAATACTGATATTTACGAGTAAGTTAACAGAGCCCAGAGAGAGAGACTTACTGTATCCAGGTCGTGGTTGCTGTGGGAAGCACATCAGCATCATGTGCCTTTCTGTTTCTCCTTCTTATTCCCTCTAGCAGTTAGGGGATTCCCAGTTTTGTGCCCCTGTGGGAAGAGAGAGAATGGTGAGACCAGGAAAACAACTTACTGCTTTGTCCTGACTCAAGGAGAACATACAGAGACCCGTGTGCTTTCGTGTGCCTTGTAATGGGATGTCATAGCTCAGATATTACACAGTTTAGGATTTTCTCTTTCTGAGCAAATATATCAGCACTCTACAGGTAGATAAAAAGTAGCTGGCTAAAACTCAAACCAGATAAAGTAGGAACAATGATAATAGGAAAAGGGCTAGTTGTGGCTCTAACTTGCTTTAACTCAATTGCTGGGTAGATTTCCTTGCTAATGTGAAGTCTCAGGTTCCTGTTTCTCATCATTTGTGCCTTGCCAGCTGAGAGATTTTATCTGTTCGTGTGGTAATTTATACTAACTGCAAGTAACATAGAAAGTCATATGGAAAGGGTTATAGCGTCTGATCAAGATTGAACCTATTTGCTAATAGAGTGAAAAGATGATGACACTGGTGTGAAAATATAACAGCGCTTCAGTATAACCCTACTTAAACATATTGTATATAACCTAATTTAGTAATAAAATGAAGGAAGATTATTTACTTTATATAATTCTATACTGAATTGTTGGTGTATGAGGGAGACTAAATTAGCAGTGAATTTAAATAAGGCTTTGTGTAGTTGTCTACATTTATGTGACCATCTGACAGATGGTCAGATCTAACTTGATTATAAGTGTAACGTCATTTTTTGTGCCTAAAAGATATCGCTTTGAAAGTTTGAAGAAAATCTTAGCAAATTATGTAGTAATATGGTTTTGCCTCTACTGTTCCTATGACTGGAGTAATCAACAGGGAGGAGAATGAAGAAAATAAATACTAGACTTCATTTGTTAATTGCTCTGAGCAGACTCAAATTCACCAGAGAAAATGCTGTCACTAATGTGACAGCTCTTTTTATGGCATTTGTGAATCTTGAAGAAAAGCATATTCTGAAAGTCGACCTCATTACTGTCACTTAATAAAGAATATCTCCTTATGCTGAACAGTGTGCAAAATAAGTTCATTTTTTTAAGGTAGATATGCTGTAGCATGCTACACCAATGTTTCTCAACCTGTGGGATGCGACCCAAAAGTAGGTTGCAAGAATATATGAAAAGGTTGTGAACAAATTTTAAAAATGGATTCTCCTTTAAAGGAAGAAAAGTGGGAACCTGTGGGTTCTCCCTTGCAGGCTGGCAGAGTTCCAGCTTGCAAGGTAGATAGCCCCAAGTTGTGTGGGGCAGGAGTAGCTTGGGGCCACCCCTGCCCCACACACTCACCCCCTGCCCCACACACTGGGGGCCTGGGAGCAGGGGGCTGGGAGTGAGGGGCCAGGGGGCTGTTTTCTATTTAAACTATTTGCTGGGTCAGGACTGGCCATAGATGTTTACAAATGGGTTCTGGTATAAAAAAGGTTGAGAGCCACTGTGCAATGCTATTGTCAGATATTGGATTGTTTATGAAAGTAATTATATCAGTGTCACTTTGCATCCCATACACTGGTTAGAATCCTATGTGTACCTGATTTATTCTTGAAACAAACTATCGCATTAATTTTTGGGTGGGGGAAGGGAGAGGCATCTGTTTTTCAAATGTCTGTACCTGGTGCATATTATACTAGGGGTATGCAAAGTGGGCCATGTTCAATTTGAATTTGGCCTGATTCAGGGCACAGTGATTCGATTCACTGATTCAGATCACTGTCCCAGTTCAATTCAGCCGAATCCGAATCTTCAGATTCAGATGCTGGTTTGGAGAATCAGTGATTCAGCCATAGACACAGCTTTATATGTTTTTTCTACTTGCCTGGAGGTATCAGGTGTAGCTCATGAATGCTGAGATGATGGGGCAGATGGAGCATCCCATAAGCGCGTGGGGGGGGGGTCCCCCTGTGTGCTTGGTAGCAGACCTGGAAGTGGACCAGAAGTACTTCCAGGTCTCCCGGCTTGGCGATCAGCCATGGGAGGACCCCAGGTATTCCCCTCACAGACTGAGGAGACACCAGTCCCTGAGCCGGGGGGCCAGGGAAGTTGCCCACATGCTCTGCA